GACGGCGCCAGCAGGGCACATGCGTCAAGGCGGTGATCCGAAGGGCAAGATACCAAGGAACTACAATGGTCCTCGGCTTCTGTGACTTTAGTTTTCAAGGAAAGGAGTCTACCAAGTTGTCGTGTTGGCATTCAATTTTCCAAAATCTGTTCGGTACATTCATTCAACTTCGTTGCAATGAATTGAAGAACCTTGGGATATCATCTACAATGGGTTAACATTATGGTATTACTCGATGGGTACAATTCAACTCTAAAACTATCGGGTCATTCGGCCTTTGCCCCTCATATCAGTCGGTAAAAGATATTCCCGCTTCACATTGGTTTGATACAATGAGGTCGCTTCCTGCTTTCAGGTCCATCGGATTTACCTAAGTAACTCGAAGGTGTGCTCAAAACCTGCTCTGGTCCCGAACACCGAATTCGCAACTTCGATGCTCGCAAAGAAGACATGCAATACAAAGTCTGGTTTCGAGTACTTGCCGTGCGTTTGGATTACAGTACGCAATCTCTATTGGGACCTCGTTTAAATTTGAAGTAGTCCTCGGTCATTCTGATCACCAGGACCGTATTCGATTTGAAAGAGTTTCGCTGTTGTTCTTGTCATCACTAACACACCATGATCGGTTTCGTCCACTTTTTACTCAACTAGAGATTGCCTAGGCCGGGAGTGAAACTCAGGCCCTAATGGTTAAAGGCTGACGTCCTGATCCCCAGGGCACAGATCCCAGTTCCACACCCAGCTCAGACCCAACCAGATGCGTCTGAATGAAGACAAAGCCAATTGTGAGGTGTGAGTGTTGTGAGATAGACAGGAGAAGCTCCGTTTCGATAGAGACGATGTTCTTCACTTCAAGAAGTGGACTATCATCGGATTCGCAGAAATCAAACATGGCAGTTGATGCATACTATCAGAAGGTAGCAAGTAAGCCGCGAGGTGTCGAAGTAGTGCGGTACGATTGTTCAAAATCGCGGTGGATGGTTTTGAATCATGATAAGCAACTCATGCAATCTCCACAGTGAAACGGTCCATCCAGCCGTTATCTTTAAACGGAACATATAATTTTAACCGAGCCTGTAACATCTGCGATGTATTGGGAAATCATAGTAAATAACTTTCTACTGTGGTCCTATGATATTTAGCCATCACGCTTCGGGTTAGTGTATTTGATCTTGCGCACTCGGGACTAATACAGTTAACTTTCCTCCCGTTTCAGTCGCTCACATTAGCACAGCGCGTGCTGCGTGAACAATTAACACAGGAAGTTGCTGTCTGACAGTCAGTACCTGAACAACCAAGTGTTGATAGCAAAAGACGCTAATCAGCGGCATTCCAAAGGCACAACTGTTAGTCTATAGAGGAATAAATGTTGCTTGCTAATGATAAGAGGTCCCCTGAGGTCAAAACTTGGTCTGCACCATTGGTTACGGTGACAGCCGCAAGCACAGAAGTCACAGACACTTCGACATGATGTCATCGATATCTAAATCTTCTTGGCCAACTGCAGTTGCCAGTACACTGAAGATCTGTTTACACAGGTGGAAAGATGTTGGGAATTTTTTCGAGGAATAAGCGAATCACGGTCCACATTGAGATTTCGCGCTTCTATCCAATCACACGAGTGTTTTACAATGACCCTCCAATCAGTCACTAGCCGTGGTGTGACAAGCGTTGCCCACCGTGACTCGATATCTTAGGAGTAAAGACTCAAACTGACATCCTGAGTCCCGGATTTGAGTGATTGTTGGTTGTACCTGATGAAATCAAATAAGTCCTAGACCGGTCGACTACGGTCTCATTGATCGAATTGATCAAGGTTCACTTCAGTGCGAGTCTCTGTACTTATATTGAAGTTGCACATCGCAATCCATTTACATAACGAATGTTTTAAAGCGATTCTCCACTAGGTCTTATGGTTTATTCAAACTTGTGAGTGTCAACACAAATGTATCGTACGGAGCAAAACGACCGCTTCCAAACTCCGGTAGCTAAGTATTTAACAAGGGACATCCCATCGAAGTAAGCGGATATCAAAAGACCCATGCCATCAAATTGACGCTTTGGGAATTGGCGGCGGTTGACGAAGGTTTCAAAAAGGTGGACAGGATGCATTGAGTCATCTTTCGATTTTTCTCACGACGCCAATATGTAATCTACTTGATTTCGTTACAGCATAGCATGATTGCGACTGAGTAGGGATACCCCGGGTGAGGTTTGGTTGTTATTGAACTTAATTTGATTTCCTTCACTTTAATATGAAAGTGAATCGCGCTGTCGTTTAGCACGGCATGGATTTAATATTAAGCAGCGCTCTACGATGCTTCCACCAAACACGGTTGCCTTAGCCTGAAGTTAAAAAGAGCCGAAAATGTGCTCGGTACATATTGTTCGTGAGGCTTCGCTTAATCGCAGATAACCGTACTTCAAGGATTGGCTACAAGAGAGCTCACATTTGCCTTTGGAAGCGCAGTTGACTGCATGCGTACTTGCTTGCTTTTGGTAAGCACCAGATGATCCACTGGCACATTCGTATCATCTCTGTCGAATCTGATACGTGACTCCACTCTGCATGCTCATCTCAAGCTGCACGTTCACCTAAGCCGCTGGGTTCTTCAGTCGATGCTTCACCATACTAATCACCTCCGAGTCGCCGAAGTTTTCGCGTTTTGCCGGATTCAAACGATGACTTGCATCCAATACAATTATCAACATGTCTTACACTACCGTGGACGTGGGGATAAAAGTTACGTTTTGTATGTTTACCTGCGCCCCAGGACAATTGTATATCATTGCGAGCCATAATTGTCAGCACTAACGAGACGATACGAAGTGCAACATTTGTCAAACCTCGTCTTCTCGACGTGCTTTCACATTAGTACCGCCGCAGATTGGAAACCTCGATCCACGACGGCTGTGGCGCTGGTCGTTTGCGACTTGAACAGTTGCCTCGAATAGGAAACCTTTGACGTTGCCTTTTTGTCGAACCTAGCATGCGAACACGATCTGGACGACTATTGCCAACAGTCTAACTTGCTGTGTTTCTTTAATCCCTAGAATACTCTTACCTCTGCATCATCGTCCACCTAGATTCACAGCCGCTATGTAGTGGCTCAGACGATATCCACAATTCGGATCTTAGTCACTGCTCCTACATGGGTTTGTCACTCCCGTACTATTCAAGATCTCTTGCGTCAACCTGCGGTTACATGGCAGTGAGAAATCAGCACATTGTATGGATCTACCTCTGATCCATACTTTTTTCTACAAATATGGTGTCAGGTACATGCGACAAGCGTAAACTACAAGAAACAGCCAAAGCTCTTAGAGATCAATTCGCTTGTGCTTTTCAGAACGCATCGCCACATGTTATTCTCAGGCAGTTCACGTCACCACGAGGACTTAGCCACGTCTCTTTCACAACCGCGGATGTGGTGAGGCGACTGCTGTCATTACGCAAGTGCAGTTCACGTGGTCCGGACAACATACACCTCGAGTCATTGAACGTAATTACCAGGAGCTTGGCTGAACCGTTGACTCGGGTTTTCCAGCGCTGTCTCAGCGAGATGTAGGTTCCAACTATGCTTAAGCGTGGAACAGTCACTTCAATTTAGTAAGGATGGGGGAATCGTGCTGTGACCGCGATTTACGGCCCGTTACTCCTCTTCTGATGCTTGATAAAACCATTAAATCTGTCGTTGCAGGACCACACATATGATAGTTAAGAAGGTGCATTATAATTTTGCAAGAGCAGCTCGGCTTCCACCGAAACACTCATGCAAACTACACTTTTGTTAGCCCTTGCAAGCTGGACGAAATCTGCCGACGCTAGGGAAGGAGTTTACGCTGCCTACCTTGCTTTTTCATAAATTTTTGATCGTCTAGGTCACTGCATTATTTACTAACCTCAGAACTATGGAATCGGTGACTATACTTGACTGGATACCTTTATTCCTGTCCAACCGCTTGAATGTGCGAGTTTCCAGTAACCTGTTTGACGCGATAGAGTTGCGCTGTGGCGTCCCTCACGGCTCCGTAGTATGACTATGGCTATTCCTAGTGTTCATAAATGACCTCGCAGGAGTGCTAACCTCAAACATTCTAATCTTTCGGGGGAGGGGGTATTCAATAGAGTGGACGATAAAATAATACTAAGAGGTGCTCTAGACAGAACTTATGAGTGGTCACCTCTAAACGTGCTCTAGGTTAATCTTGTCAAAGGTAAAATAATGAGCGTGCGCTACCGGAGAGCCTACGAATATCGGCAGCGCGCTTCCCATGAAAGTAATTTTGTGATGATCGTGCAGAATGATCTCGTATGCTTAAAACAGGCTGACAAATAAGTGGGCACTTGGGTTTCTTTCAGAGGGAGTTTGGTCGGTTTGATCCTGCCTCCTTTTAATGAATGCTCAGCGTTTACATGAGGTCACATTTAGACTACACCATCCAAGTGCAGCAAACGGCAAAATCATGCCTTCGTCGCTCTTGAAAATTCACGACGGATGGTGGCTAGATTTTTAAAAGCTTGCTTTAACTTCCTAACCCCTTTAGGCTGAAGACCATAGGAGTTTTCAGTGATCTTATGTTGGTGTATCAGATCCTCAAAGATCCTAATCGCCCATACCGACACATTAAATCTCCGCCACAATATATGAGCAAGATTTTACCCTTTGAAGTTGGCCACACACTATAGCCGGTTTGAATGCCACCGGTACGTTCTCTTCATTTGTGTATCCCAGTCGAGCGACTTAGCTCTGCATTCTATCCTCTCCACTCCTACGTTATCTGAATTCAAAACTCTACTTGGTACTGCATTATGCCACCTACATTACACAAGTTAACCCAATTTACTGTGGCACGGGACAACGTAACCAAACTGTGCACATGTGCAGATTACATTGCGTCCATCCCGTTGCGCGTCATCATTTTCTGATTCACACACCTTTTGATCTCACTCTTTATCTATGGAAAATATTAAGCATTTACTTTTTTATCCATTACAGACAATTCACCAATATTCTGGAATAATGACTATGAGCCCACTCATAAAGAAGTTATCTGAGGTACTTTTCCTTCCCAAATCCGACGGTTCAGTTGCGATCTCTTGTTCTATCGGACCCTACTGATGAAACAACAATCAATTTCTTCTCTGGTGAAGAATGGTTTGAACTTTCTCGAGCTTTCCAGTCTGGTATGTTCTTGTGCCATGAAGACATAATGATGGTTGTGTCATAATCCATACTGACATTCTTAGCTTGCATTCGACCACCGGCCTTCCACTTACTGATCTTTACCAGTCGAATATGCCTCAAAAGCTATCACCTCGACTCCCTCATCTGGCACTGAAAAGTCCTTTGTGGGAACGTTTTTATAATGGCATTATCATTGATCAAGGATCCGTGTTTTAGTCTTTCCGACATTCTGCTTGCGGCCTCTGGGCTGCTTGTTGGATTTCCGTTGCCGAAAAGGTTTTGATTTCTCTCACCTTGTCCGAGCCCGCGTACAACCACATCTAAATACTTAGCGGTCAAGTATCAGTGCAGGGTACTGTCGTAACACCAATATTCTCTACTCTCATTGATCACTAGTACTTTCAAAATGATTTAAATATCGCTTGTTGCTATATCGCCTTTGTTCTTCCCTCCGCCTCATTCTGTTACTTCGTTTGATGTACATCCTTATGTATCGTCAAATTGTTCAGGCGGGGGTCAGATTTCTACACTCCGAACTTTACTTTCCCTGCGATTTATTGTTCAGTACATATGTCCAATTAGTGATCTAATAGGTTTAACAGCCGAGTTCTCGCACATGCACATTGTGGACACTTTGTGCGCATGGTGCGATTTTTCATCAACAATTTTGCGGCGTAATTTTCTACCTTACATTGAGTCCTGTTCCGTTACCGTTACCTGCTGGTATGGGACACCATCAATCCATTTTGATTACAATGATGGGCGAGCCCACCCGTATGCATCGTTGTTGTGCACAATTTGCGCCGAGTTCCATAGAATCACACTGGCAGTGCCGCGCACGACTCTTTGAGGCTAATCAACGGGACGTTCTCTTATAATTCCACTGGTCCTCATATCACCCGGGCAGTTGTGTGGCTCGCGTTATGCTCACCATCCGCTTGTTTGCATTTCTTACACAGAGGAACGGTCGCTTCAGTGACCATCAGCGATGTTTGGAAAGAAGATTCCATCTTCGCTTCAGAAAACCCATCCTGTAGTGATTCCTCATAGTAAACAAGACATTGGTGTACATCCCTTTTGGAGTACACATAATGTCATTAACCAACCAAACCCCATGCTGCCCCCATTTGCCTGGTGATCTAACGCTTTGAGCTGTCCTCACACTATTTTTACAACCGAGCGGGCGCGGTTTGTGGTTCACCGCATTCTCCGTTCAGTACTCCAAATCCATCCCACTTTCTATCCAAATGTTAGCATTCGAAGCGATTCTTGTCGCATTGGTATTTTCGTTTCTTCTCTTAATGGTTTCCGGATGCTCTTGCTGTGATGTTTCCTCTTTTAGTATGTGATTCCTCCCACTTTTTCTTACGCAGCTGACAGGAAACAGAAGGATTCCATTATTTCCATCCTGGACGAAATGACGGTAAACCGCAAAGGGGTTGGTTTTATTCTGGCCTTCACTACATTGTATGACATAGGCTAAATTGTTTGGTATAGAAGTTTTCATACCGACGCTGTATGAATCACTCATCATCAAGTATCTTACCATCTTCTGACCATTTTGTCTTCAGACGCGAATGCGAAGAAATGCAAGGGAGCATTTTTCGCATTATCAGTCGCATCACTCTCGCAAATCCGTGTGTGGACTACGGCAACTCGTTTCCCACTACTCTAATGCAGTCTGTTGATTTTTTGTGCGACGACTCATCTGGTAAGTTTATTTGTCATCACACCATTTCTACCGGTTGACAGATGTTGGAGCCACTCTGTCCTTCATTGATGCGTTGCTCACCTACGCGATCAGCAACTGCATCGACATCCATCACTCACTGTGGAGTCTGTTGGATTTTTGTGCCGACAAGTGTACTAAAGTAAGCCATACATGCACCATCGATGGACCTCCAACATTTTCTTCGAGTGGTTCACACTTGTAATCGTTTTCTTCATAATAAAACCATCTTGATATTCGTATAAGCACTGTTGAAGAGCTCTACATACATTTGGTGAGGCCTTTAAATCGGCCGCTGCCTTTTCCACCGAACATCATTTTTTACATTATGTAGTGTAGATATAGCATTTTTGCAAGAATAAGCTGACAGATTTCTTGTTCAATCAATTTCCAAGGTCACTGAGACCAAATTACTCTATCACCCTTTTGAATATAAGCGTGCGAATCCGTGCACGATTCACGATCTATTGTCTTTGCACACAAAGCTTTCTCTCAACTGAAACGAACTAAGAAGAAAGTTTTTGATGAAACCTTTTCCGGCTTGAATTGATGCAAATCCCGAAGATTTAGTTCAGCATGATGGGATCATTGCTCGATCGAGTTATGACAGTGCGCTCTTCTCATTTTTCTGCTCATTTGTAAAGTTAGCGTTATTGAAGCTACCCGTTAATTACCCTTACGATTGCTACTGTAAAACGCTGAAAATGCACACATTTGGGTACATAAGGGTTATACAGGCCTATACTTTTACTCGAGCTTCTTGAGGGACACCATTATGGTGACCGCAATCGGCAGGTATGAAGTCAACTCACTCCACATGCAAACCTCGAGTGGTGGATTCGACCCGATGTGCTTCGACGAGTCCGGCTTGACATGTGCCGAGTTTCGCTTATGTGTCACAATTTGTCTGTTTACTAGATTCTTCCAAATAGCGCCATATTTTGGGCCGTGCTTACACTTGATCGCTCACGTCGTCACTGTGTTAGACTTGGCTCAATTTCACACTCTGACAAATAGTGTATTATACGATTCCGTTGTCTTTGCTTCGGTTCAATTTTCAGTAGTCTACCATTCCTTTTCTTTTCTTAATGTTAGCCCGATTCTGACATCTGGAAGTTCCTAATCCTCTCTGCCAAACTGTTGCCGGTACTACCAACTCAATCGCATGGATGCCTTTTGCCACGTTGTCTTCAGCGTTTGGCCGATTTCGCAGTGAAGTGTTTGCAAACAAACAGTTAAGTTTATTCCGCTGATTTCTCGATTCCTCTTGGTTGTTTTCTTATTTTTCACCATCTACCATCAAAGGCTCAAATTCGTTCTTCCTTTTTATCTTCTTGTCCATAATGGAGCAAATCCGCTTTGTTCCCGTGAGATTTCCTATGCTTCTGCATGCCTGAGTGCATTCGTCGCAACATTTCTTGAGCCTACATTTGGGAGTTGGATTCCCAAGTCGGAACCGGGAGTGTGTCAGTCGGATATGCATGACAGGATGTAACATAATAACCTGGTTTTATCCGCGCTTTTCTCCACTTCAGATAGTATTTCAATTATTTCTCGATTGCCTCTTCTTGAGTTGTCCTCTTCAATATGCAGAGGTATTGTATTTCTCCCAGAATCACTATAAACGATTACTGTTATAGCCGCCATCCAGAGATCATTACTCTTGTTTAACTACGTGTTTTTCTTATTTCGGTTTGGCGTTTTGCACCGTATGACACCAGCCTTCATTAATTACTTAGTTCTTAATATCGCGGTATGCAGCTAACAGACATCGATTTCCGGTTGATGCCTGCCCCACTCCTGCTCGTAGTTTTATTTGCGACGTTAACTTTCTTGCTTTCTTTTCCACTGTCGCCGGTGTGACTCGGAAGAACTTTTCCTAGACTAATGTACGTGTGACGTAATATCGGTTATCACTTTCGTAATTCTCAAAGTTGCATTGTTCTATGTTGCTCCACTTTGATCTGCTTTCTCGGTGTAAACCCGAAGGAATAAGACTGGGAGGCTGGTGAATGCGAGCCCCGTTTCATCAACGAAGCCGGCCCATCCTCCTTCAACACGCAGAGCGGAAGCATTCGTGACTGCATGTGAAATCATGCGTACCAGACGTACACACAGAGATGGCTAGGCCGTAGCCCCTTCCACACGGGATGTAACCACTCTTTGAGGCTAGCACGGCCACGAGGACCGTGCACCCTTCCCCCAACAACGACTTACAGTCTCCTGGAGCCAGTATATAGATGTTGGGTAGTAGACAGGTAGGCACCTTGTCAACATGCACATCAAACGCCGCCACACCGGTGATATCCAACAACGAACATAGAATATCACAAAATAAACACGCACGATTGACACCAAATATTGAGTCGATTTCACCTTGCTTAACCCGCTAATTATCCACACCCTTAAAACGGCGATTCCCAAGCTTTGTTTTCGATCGTCTCCCGTTACTATCGATTTGCAGACGGAGCTTTGCGACAATTGTCTTCACCTTTTGGTAGACTTTTATGTTTTCGCTCCCTCCAGCTATTCCGACTTCATGTTGGAATCGCTTGTGTCATCTGTTTTCTAGTGCTCTAGTTACCCGGTACTTCGCAGCACGTATTTACCATTCCATTCCTCTACAGCGAAACCAATTTTGTTACGCATGCCATAACTTCTATCCTCGAGACTGAGACACACGATTGCACGCTTTCTATTCCGACCTGCAACCTTTACCCGACCGTTCACTATCACTTTCGCCGATACCTTCAGCTCGTCCATACTGCCACTGACTGTATCCTGCAACAACTATGTGTCTGTCTGATCAATCACCTGCGTTATCATTTGTGTGAGCGTGCCGCTAGGCCAATTTAGAGTGATTTGAAGCCAAACGTACTACTCGCACATGCTGGCCTATACCTGTGTTGCCGATGGCATGCATATTGATGGAAAGACCGAGTTGCACCATTTGGAACCATTCATCACCTGCGAAGACACAGATACCTGCAAAGCGTTTCCTAAGGCACATTCCTTACACGGGGCACGACAACCCTCTGATTGTGGAGTATGTAGTTTACAATCGATAACAACATAATCCAGAACGGTTCCTCTTGATATGATGGGATATGTCTCTTCTAACGTCCCAACGGTCTCTTCCCTACCGATACAATCATAAACGGGCTAGCTTAATCAATCTGCAACAGCCTGTGCTCCTTTCCCCCGGCAAACGACCACTCTGAATCTATTGCGATCAAGCCTGTTATATCATTTTCTCATGCGCAACTCGCGTATGCTTCCTTATTCAAAGCCTCTGCGTACACAAGCTGCAACGAAATACACCACAAACGATCTGCAATCACTTTTGGCCCAACGACTTATCACTCTCTGTGTTACCAGTCCTCTGTCTCTCATATAGTTGGTTCACGTCACAGAAATGGAAACCGGATACGCTCTAAGACTTTGTGCCTTACTTGCTAACCGAGCACCTCGGTGTCCCCCGATTGCAAAGTTGCATATTGCAAACGGAGTATGTATTACTCCATGAACCTACCTGGAGACGAAGTAAGAAAAACACCAAATCCATTTACAGACAAATATTTTATGCGGAACGAAATGGCTTACAAATCCGCTGTATGCATTACATGTCCGTAATTACCCATCACGAGCTGGACCATTTTCCCGCAGGGATGTTGTGTGATATAAGCTCTTGCCTTTGACACTACCTGCACCAGACAACGAATGCGCCACTCACTTCTACTGATAACACCATCAGGGTCACCTCGGAGCATTACTGCATACCTGCTCCTCATCACTTGCTTTACCTAGCTTTTGCTTACACTCCAGATCCCTCCATAGGGTTAGGCGCCGGAGCGTATGGTGCTAGTCATAACATCCTCCCGAATCGATACCTATCTTTTTTGGAAAACGGTTTCCAAGTATGTGTGGCACGGAGCATTGTCACAAATCAACAAACACCATTTAATAAAACCCGCACCGTTGGCATCAAGAACCTGTCCCAGCCACTGTGCACCCCTTTGCTTGTTATAAATTCCACATAACCCGGAAAACGCTATCAACGGGCGGGTTATCATGGCTCCGACAACATGCACATTTCGGCCACAGTACATTGTGCTCGACTCTCTCGTGGTGAAGGACCCCGAGTGCTTGCGCAAAGAGATCGAAATTAGTTTCGTCAATCCACACGGCTTGCCGTCCTTCTGTCTGAAAATTCAGCAGCTGCATGACAAACAATTTCCGTCGCCCCTTATTCTCCAGTATGTTCATTGCCTCTGGAATCGCGTGCAACTTCTTCCTCGTTATCAGCCGACCGTCTAGCTATTGGCCTCAACCTTGCACTCCGCCTTCAAACGAAAACATTGTTGCAAGGGTTATTGTTGTTTCTGTGGGCACGCACTCCAGCAGAGAATCTACGTGACTTTCTGTCGGAGCTCTACGACCAACACCCCCTTGTTATCTTCTCGGCTCAGCACACTAACACTTTTATCCAACTGCGGTGGGTTTTGAAATTTACATATAGCAAATTGTCGATGTGTTTCCAATTGTCTCCCAACTCATACGCTTGCAGTATTCGATTCTTCACTTCCGACTAGTGGCGCGCCTAAGGCCCTTTTCGGGTCATTTCTTATCGGCACAATGATAACCTCAAGACGAAATCAGGAAACATTGCAGCGCGGCTTATTTAACCAACACACATTCGTTCGTGTACGTGACCCCCATCCGACATCATGAAGTTCAATGCCTTGTTGCGACATACTTGGCCGCGGACAACAACGAAATGCCATTTCATGGATAGCGTTACTGGATAGCAATTAACTTCCCTTGCACCGGAGACCCTTTTACCTGGGTTCGCGACTTCGGCTTTCTCTGTGGCAACCTAATCAGGTGGGAATGACTGCTCCGGATTATTGGTCGTTTTACTTCACACACTGGATTTGGTCAGCCCATGACGTAACTAAGTCAATAATTTCCAAACTAACTCCTTGCCTGTGTGTGTCATGTCATTTCTGTTACGTGAACCAAGGATGGCTCAGTGGTCAACTGGTAGAAGTGATGGATAATGAATATCCGGGAACAGTCATTCCCACCTGATAAGGTTGCAACAAAACAAATTTCAGTCGCGAACCTAGGTAACAGTTTCTCCGACGTATTGGTAAAGCATTGTCACATGATCGCTGCTTCCCAACGGGATGCTTACTGTTACTGTGTCGATCATAAGTTCCTCATTAGTGGCCGGTTTGTTCCTTGTCTTGAATTTCCTAGGGTAGGTAATGTGATTATACAGTGGTAGGCCAGCAACTGGATCTCGCAGTTCGGCTTTACATTGCTCACTGTAGGTTGTTGGAACCTCGACAGCGTGCAAGTTGCAGTCTCCGACAAGGAGAACGTGACTATAGGGCTTTGCTAGAACGGTCTTCAGAGCATTAACTAAACGGTTGTCCATTTCTACAGCTGACATCGGGGGACGATATACGATGGCCACCAAACATGTGTCGCCACGCCTGAGTTGTAAACGGCACCAAAGCGACTCAACAACTTGAGTCTCTGGATTATTAACGAATTGGAAAGGAAGGTCACTGCGATGGTACAGAAGGACACCGCTTCCGCTACTTGGTCGGTCGTATCGTAGAGCGAACATGCCTGTTAAGGCAATCTCGGCATCAGTGATTTCGTCGTTGAGCCAGGTTACAGATTATCATGACATTGTTCCAGGGCGTCGGAGTTTGGCGACAATGAAACTCGGAATACTTGCTAAGGAGGCTTTGTGCATTAGTGTAAAAACAGGATAGTGTTTCGTATGTCAGAACGGTGTTCGGAGGCGTGGGTGTCAGATGAGCTTTTAAGCCGACTTTTGTGAGAGCAGGACTTATTCGTTTATTGGGTGAACTACTGATAATGGATTTTGAGCCTCTTCATGTTGGCTGATAGGTAGCTCATGTGATGAAGTTCCGGTTAAAGGGGTCATTGGACAAATCGCCTTTCCTGTGAGAGCCTGTCGTGAACCGCAGCTGTACCACACAAAAGTAAAGTTTGCTGTCTATCTATCAATGACGCCATCAAACGTATTCCTTAGCAGAAGTTTACTCTCAATCCTGTCAAGATCTGAAATTCTGTCTAAAAACGCCTTCTTAGGTCATGAATAATTGTCCTCGGAAAATCCAGGTAGACATTTTTAAGGCTCGGCACGCAAAACTCTTTGAAACAGCGCAAATGAGCAAACTTTTTTCTTCCCAGTTGTGCCTCAATAGCAGCTTCTTCCGAAATCACAGGTGGTTCTCCTTTCCCTCGAGTTTCCATTTCAGTTTATTAATGTGGGATCTGATGTCGACCATTAATGCCAAATTTGATATCCAATTAGGATCTGATAGCTGTGGGTCAGCTCTATCTTTTTCAGTGAGGAAAGCAGCTATTTCGTTTCAGATCTTGCAAAAACTAAACAGGAATTTACCACAACTGGGCCACCTCAATAATCTATGAGAAGGCAAATCACAGAATTCGGAATCAATATCTTCCAAAAAATACTGGAATGGCGGTGCTTTTGAGCATGTCCCCGAATGCAGTTGACAATAGAAACGACGAGTTTTGGTGCACAAGAAATATCTACGTCTTTCCAACAGAGTGCATGTTGATGTAGGATGCAGTGTATGAACGACCAGAATTTGAAAATCGTCTAACTGAGTCTTGCTCTGCCCTACTAGATCCTTTCTCACTCCAGCTGTTTCCCCACCAGTCTTGACCGGAGGTCGTAGAGTTGCAACATTTTGGGCAGTTACACGAAAAGTCCTTCCCAGTTGTCGTTCCATGCATGCTACAGACCAATGCCAACTCTTCCGTGATATGAAACTCCACGTTAACACCACGTATGAACACGGGAAGCTATGACGTACTCTAGAGATCTGTAAACTCATCCGGCGCCAAAAGTTGCCACAAACGGTTTAGCTTTCTCGTGTAACTTCAGTAATATGTTCACACCGTTCTTTTGTCCTCCGCACAACTGAGTTTGCCGAAAGACTGATGATTGCAAATAAATCCTCTTTCTCAGGACGCATTTCATTCTTAGATTCCCTCATACACTTTTTGACTAAGTTTCCATCCGTAAACGGCATTTCCTCCTTTTACCATCATATGCACTATTTTATAACTAGTACGAGTGGCAGCTTCATTTTCAGTTAAATTTCCCCTGAAATGAATTCTTCGGATTTCTAAACCACCTTTCATGGATTCATATTTCTCCAGTCGTTGCTCCCCCAAAAACCTTGCAGATGCTGGCAGGTGTTTTGTCTCATACTGACGTCGGATATTGTACTCTTTCAAAACGACAGCGTTTTTGTCGCATATGACTCAACTGGTTTTCCAGTACAGTTTCCACAAAGAAGTATTTTATTCTGTATTCTTCTTTCTGAACTCGGCACTCGGCGTCTACTTCCATCTTCTTAGTAGCCGTATGTGGCATTCGTATACGTAACTGCGTCCAACTAAGCCTTATTGATATTTCGCTGGAATCAGTATCAAGGACAACGGAACGAAAGCCACGACTCACCGCTTTGTATCCGTGTCAATGAGACGACTGTGTGGGTCACATCCAGACTGATATGCAAGCAGGTGAACGGGTCAAGCGGATGTTCAGGTTAAGGGAGTGCCAAACGTTACCATGCTTACCGTGCGGAGTACTGCACACCGGTGTGGGCGGTCCTGGTGGATGGATAACGCGCTGTCGAAACTGATAAGCTATATATAGGGGCTAAATATGGCCATGCAAAAAAATGGTCGACAGTGCATTGGTGCGAAGGCCAAAGGCACGATGATAGGGTATGTATGGATTATATGAATCCCCAAATTCGGGTATCGTTGGTGGGCCGGATCCAACCCGCGGGCCGCAGTTTGGTGACCGCTGGTCTAGACAATTAGAGAATTGGATAGCTGCAAGTGGCATTTCCTCATCGTATTCACTGGAGCATGCATTACGTCAATTTTGAAGCTACTTTTTATACTTTCACAAATGGTTGTTTTTGTCACGTGTTCATAATACCACTTTCTATCTTCCTTTGTTGATGTGTGTATCTATGGTAGTCTGATTTGACAGCGATCCCGTACTCTGACTCACAGAAAACTCAGTCAGTTTTCAAGATCCCGAGTTTGTGCATATTTTTTGCAGGGACATGAACAATTTTACTTCCAAACCTGACTCTCATGCGGTCAGCTACTCATAACCTGGAGGATTATACTGTTTATTCAATTGTATACTCACGAGCCACGACGTCTAGCCAATTTGGATACCCTTGCTTGTGAAACTGATGGGGACACTTACTTTTTATCCACAAATGATTGTATCTGTTGCTTTTATTGTGTTCTTGAATGCACACATCAATGCCGAGACTTTAAAAGTCCTTTAAGTCAGATATTTAGGTTGGTTGACCTTATTCACTCGTAATCACCAAACGCTTTTGAACCTTTTCTGCTTCGTACTAGCTCCTTATTTTTTGTCCAATCTACGTAGCGTTTTTATTCTCTTTTTCTTGCAGATTTGATGAACCATTCCGCTTCCTGTTACTCGCTATTCGAATTTCTTCTGGCTATCACCCGTTTCTGCGCTTGCTCGCTCAGCTGGCTCCGACCGTTGTGTTTGCTGTCAAAGAATCGCGGGGAGCCGTTTGCGGTCCTGCTCTCCTCGGTGATTGTCGAATTGCGGTTGCGCCTACCGTGTCCTGACCTTTGCAGTAAATGTAAAAAGCCTTGTGAAGGTCCAGATTGGCAGCACAATTGGATTAATACTGTGGTCACCGTAAGTGGTTGGGAATATCTAGACTATGACTATATTCTGAGCTTCCCCGTTTACTGACATATTCATATATGCTTCTTTGAATATGGTGGGTTATTTGAACCCATCATCACTACCAGATATCACAGACCTTGTGCATTGCTATCGTGGATGTTTTGCGTCGTTCGTTTGTCTGTTCGGTTATTAGCGTTTCCTCAGATTTGTCCATCTCACTTACTGGAACATAGCACTCTCTCACCCTTTACTCTGGACGACGTGTTCTTATTTTCTGACTACCATTTAGTCGCCAACATGAGTTCGTCATTTTCAACCGCCTCACTGCAACGCAACTTGTAACCGATATCACTGCTACCCTGCGTACGGTCACTCACGTCAATGCCGCCGCATGTAACCATTAGTAGCATCTTCGCTCTCTGCCAATTATATGCAATAAGTGGTAGGTTCTGTGGGTGCTAGCGGTTTACTCGCAACCACTGACCACGACTACCAAGATAGACTTGTGCTCCATAGCTCTTTGGCTTCCCTCAGTCTTTCATGGTGTTGAAACGAATGGATGTAGCGCAACATTATCGTGTATACCTGTGGCCCACTGGTCTCGGGTTTGGTTTTGTTGACCTCCACTTCAGAGCATCCACCTGAGTCTGTTTAACATAACGGTACGCTGTTCCCTGTCTGGGCTGCTGTGTCGTCCTCGGTGCATAAGTCACTAGTTGTTTTTCATAGCTAAATAGACATAAATTACACCACTTATAACAGCTGTCACTTCTTTCACTCAGGATCTTTCGGAGTTGAACAACCTCATGGTGGATCGCGCAGCTAAATTGCTAATCTTTGCATTACGCGAAATGGATCAAGCAGGTTCCAGTGTGAGTTTTCTTATTATGTATCACACTATTCCTGACAGTTTGCACTTATAAAATGGCCCTTTCTATTATTGGTAATGTTGTAAAAACCGCTTCAAATTTTACACCTACATCGGACAACTAGACACTACTAGTTTCAGACATGCGTATGTTCGCCCCCATGTCGAATACGCAATCCAAGCCTAGCGGACTTGGCTGTAGCACAGCCTTACTGCACTGGACAAACCTCAACGTCGGGCTTTTAAGTACGTCAATGGAATGCGCCATCTTCCACACGAGCAGAGGCTGAAATGTTTAGGCGTGTACAGCGGGCGGTATCGCCGACTACAAGACGACTTGATTATGGCGTATTTGATTTTACACAATCAGCAGCAACACCAAACTTAGAGGCTACTCCTTGAAACTAGTAGAACAGTACAACCGTCTGGCGTGCCATAGAAATTTCCTTTCAATGCTTGTGTGTCAACCATGGAACGCTCTCCCCAAATCGCTTGTTTCTGCACTCACGCAATCCATAGTTAAAGTCGGTTGGATGACGCACTCCGCCACTTACATTTTGTTACTTGACCCTACTCTCCATCCTACTCCCGGGAAATACCTTGGATTTATTTTTTTCGTCTATTGAATCTATGGAAACACTTGGAGTGCATGGCTACTGCATTACCTACGATAAATTCATTCTTTTGACATTAGAACTACTAATTGCACATTTTTCATTTACGAGTTTTCGATAACCCTCCACTCTACCCAACAAAACTTGTAAAGCAGTGCTTCTTAACCCGTATAAAATCATTGTTCATTGTACTCTTTGTGTTGTAAAGGTGTGAGAAGTTGTAGTATGCGGTAGCTTTTGCTATGTTAAACTTGCTGCTCAATCGCTTGTTACTGTCATCGTCTCTCATTGTTTAAGGAGGACCGGACCGACGTCGAGAACCAAGTTCTTGCGGAGTATCTCGAGGATGAGGCAATTGAAAAATTTTGGTTACAACTTTGCGACTTGGGTCGCGTCTTCTCAGACACTTTATCTTCTCGAGCTCCTGAACTCACCAACGCAGTAAGGCTTGATTTGCAAAATAGCTTAACATATTTCTCTTGGAGCTATTTTCACATTTTGAGTTAAAACTATCTCACTCGCACGTGTCTTGTTGTATTTTGATACACTGGCCCCGTTTTACCTGCTGCTGATCACTCACTCCCAATTTGCATTTCCTTGAGATCGTCTCCACTTCACGTGACCAATTATTTTGTCGCTACTTCCTAGTTGACCAATCAACCTGCACGTCGTGTATCCTCTAGTATATTGCTCTTTGCCAACGCATGGATTGTAGTAGCCAGCTTATTGTCTGAACTTCGCTGCTTGCTTTTATCATTTTCCCTAGTCGTGATGTTGCGTATAGCCAGGGTCATAATGGTACATCTTTTGTGGTGCCTAGTAGGTAGCTGCATGCATTACACACGTATTGTGAACCCCATATAGAACAGTAATCCTCTAAGATTTTGTTATCATTACATTTACAATAAACAGGTCTGCGTAGCCTATGCTGATTTGCACGCAAGGAATGGAGAACGTTGGCCGACTGGCCCCAATCACCGCCTGCTCTTTGATCCCAATTCGCTTTGTGAATTTTGCAGATCTACGCTAAGGCGAACATTTGGCACCCCTGTTGCATCGATTTTTCACTCTTTTCTGTATCACTTCGGCACTACCAATACGCTAATCGTCGATGGGATTAATGTTGAATTGTAATTTGCCGCGTTTATCCCGTAGGCCGCCTAAACAGTCCATCCCGGTTTCCACTATTTCTACTCGTCACTTGTCGTTGGTTGTTGCTTTTCCCTGGGCATCTTCGCAAAACGCCTAGTCACTTTTTACCGTTAGTTGCCCAGTGGAATAGGGATGAACTCCTGTCAAGTTCCACTCAAGTATCACACCTAACGTGCGTTGCATTCCTGGTTTTGCAACTTAGCTGCCTGTGTCGGCGCTATGGTCATCTGCCGCGGTCTCCACACATTGTGTGAATCACATGTAACACGCTTTTAAGGAACCAACGCAAAATGGAATATTAACTTGGACTCAACCATAAGAACGACCATCCGACTAATTTCCTTGGGTTTCTACGGTACTGCCTGATTTCCATTACCATAGTTTCATCAGTATTACTAACAAAGGATGCCTTTCAGCCGCAAACTCAATGTTTTACATCACATTTGGACTGGAGCGACTCCCCACGCATTTTGGAACCTAGTGCTAAGGCTGACTGACTATAACTGTTGTTTCACAGTTGAGGATAGGGCCACATTCTTATCTTCCCCTGAGCCTCTTTCGTTGGACTGTAAAAGCTTTGCTTTTTCACCTTATAACCACGTTATTTCTGCCACTACATTCAGAGAGGCAAACAAGCCACCCAAACTGTGTCAGGTATTCACTAATGAAGCACCCATGATTGGTTTCATCTACATTTTTTAGACCACGCTGATCATAAATTCATACCCTACAAGTGCTACGCGGAATATCTCATGAAAAGCGCGGAACTGCTGAAAACCATTGCACCCTACGGCACCGTATTTCGACTAGTTAAGGTGACTAACTGGGGTTTTTTGGGCTGTAAAGACAGGAAATTTCCGAGTGGAATTTCATCAAAATGTTAACAAGGCATCAGCAGTACTGACGCTTCGCTACTGCGCAACCACCATCAGTCGCTCATAGGCTAAGGATACTGCAAGGGTTGCTCGGTCCGTATACAGGTTTGTGATCCTTTAGGCTACGGGCCGGCAAATGTTTAACACAGGTTACTGATGGGTTGAAAGGTAATGGTATCTGTCCAAATAGTATGTCTTGGCTTGTGCGGAGTGGGGCACCGGTTCCAAAGCGCTTCTGAACTCAGTTTGAAACATCTGCAAAACATGTCCGAGTCCGGATACTTATGGTCTAGCGTAACCATTATACTCAACTAGTCCTCTAGTGGGATACTAGCAAGCTTTTTTAATATGACCTGATTCCCATCTCAAATTGTTGTGCGCGCTATGAAATACTCTTGTGAATTAAGACGCGAATTTCTTAATCTTCCAATAGAGATGAACCAACGCGAACCATCACGAATAGAAATCTGTATCGGCAGTAAGCTCCCACATTTAAAGGCATTCAGTTGTCTCATGACCCATCGTTATGTATATTGCCGCTACTGCGGCTCGCTGATGTCTCTTGCAGCAGAAGCAGCCGAGGGAACTACTGACTATTCGTACTTACAGCTCTCTCGGAGCTGCATCCATTCACCCATGGCGTTTGCAGTTGCATCTGAAGTCTACCTTGAATCTTTGCATGAGTGATTCTGGTACTGCCTTGATACGAAACATGCCACAATCGTGTCGGAACATGGGATAGCATCTCAAACTCCCAATGAAAGCTGCCCTTCCGCTCCAGTAGATTACCTTCCGATGTCTCCTCTTTCATTGCCTTTAAAGATCATGTGAACTCTCGTTTCTGATGCGCTAATCTTCTAACCGGATGAATTTCGCTAATTCTCTCAAGCGTAGCCCGGCTGTGTTAAATAGCAATCATGCATCACGTATATACTACTAATACAGTTTAGTTGGACCAAAACAGTAAATGGTGATGTTTGAGTTAATGTGCTTTACTTTGCCATCTCTGTAGCATTCGATCGGTTGAACTATCGCATTTTCCTCCCCATGCTCCGGGACTATGGCATTGGTGATACTCTCCTTCACAGGTGTTTATAGATAAGACGTACACATATTTGTGTTGCATATTATCCAATTAGAATTCGATGTCTCATAAGATCCGGCATTGAGCTCAAGTCTGTTCTCTATCCTTATTTAGGGTCAAGCGAACCTCATTGCTTAGAATTGGTTATCTCGTGCCGACGGCATCAGACTATCATGAACGATAATTCCTCGGGTCATTTAGTGGCTTTGGCCGATTTCGATAAGGTTTATGGTTTATCAGTCAAGAATCTTCTGCTTATTAACTTTATGGCGCTACATTTACGGGATAAAGCGCTTCACCCTTATAAGTTTGGCTACTAGCATATACAGAAATATTTCCGTGAAGCAGTCCGAAATCACATCAAGAAAGGGATTTTGACACCTAGGTGTCTTGTGGAGAGCACTCGTACACTTCGATTTGTCTCTTTTCGCAATCTATTCGTACATATATACTCCATTATCTGAAATATACAACTCGAGGTTGGTAGCCGCGATGGAAACGAGATCTCACCGTTTTGCAGGTCCCGCAATGTCAGGAGACCAGAAATATTAAAGCTTTACATTATTTGCGTTACCAAAAGACTGAGAATGCCAGGAGTTTTGGGTAGACGATATCGACGTTTCTGTGGTAACGTATTGTGCGTTATCGATTTTTGTACTTTTCCCGCCATGGGTACTGCCACCTGTTAAAGCGCAGTCTTAATCGCAATCTGATAGTTTACAATTTCAAGCTAGCCGAACAACACAAATGCCTGAATGTACTCTCAAGCTTTTCACTGCGTTTTTGCTCCTACGTCGGTCACGTTCAAAGACGTATTCAGCGGGATATTTGCTTCTTTCTACAATATCACGTAGCCTACACAAACATCAGAAAGCAAATGTGCGAAAACTCCCATTTGGTTTGCTAATTATATCGACTTTGGATGAGGGATCCTTTCATACAAACATATTGGTCGGTCGACTTCCATCTTGCAATTCTCCTGCCGATCATAAGGCGGAACATGTAACTCCATGGCTCTGTATTCGTCAACCATAGCTATGCTAATATAAGGAGATAAGCGGTTTTTTCCGGAGCAATCAGTGAGTGGCCGTTTACTCTGAATTCCCTTATTTTCTGCCTGCTTACTTTGAACGGACGTGTTGACCATCACCGTTCAATCTTACCTGCCCGATCCTATTCACTCGTCACCGTCTTTGATTGTGTGCTGAACTCAAAGGCATATTTTTTCATAGTAATGAAATGACTTTGTATTCTGAATCGCTGATATGTGATAAACAACACGGAGGAGAATCCGGATGCGGCCCATTTGCGTAGTGACTAACTGGAACTGCTTGCCGGAGCCCGTTCTCAATGCGCAATCAGAAGAACGTTTTAAACGACTGCTAACTTCCCACCTTCCGAGTGTTCCGCGATCTTGCTACTTCCAATGCAGCTGTAGCGGTCATCTGCGGAATTCCCTTTTGTAATGACTCGGGTCACCTACCTAATGATGGGGAATTCACCAAGTTGACAAAGGATTGCCTGCTTCATTGAACCATTGAATTAGTCTCAGCGAACAGTCTTCAAGGACTAGATACTGCACAATCCTCACTTAATGGAATCGCACTCCAGTTTCCAGCTGGTGCGCTTGTTCAACTCTCAACCAGGGTCTCATGGTGTTAATCCCTTTTTGGAAGACTGTTTAACATAGACATTTACGTCGACGTCAATATCGGCTGACTTTCGCTTTCCGATACATCGAGGCTTCTCCAAATCTGCGTGTGTGCGCACACTTTTCTGGTATAACTAATCATTGTTGAAAACTTCACTTTTTTCCTCTCGCAGTTATTAGCGAACTGACAGTTAAGTTCTGAAGTTAGCTTTTCGTCAGATCTGGAATTATTTGCACACATAGCCGCATTGTTTGCTCGCTTGGGTGACCACTGCTACTTGTTTGTTTACCAGCTCATGTCCGATGCCACAATCTCCCCTACTGTCAAGCCGGAAGAGCGGTTATCAGAGCCGACATTGCTACTTGTATCCGCCTACTTGAAGTGGATTGTGCTTTATTACGAGACGAATCGCAGTGGGATACTTTCCATGAATTCAATCGAAGATCAAACGACACATCTTTCCCAGCTCATAGCGCGTTTGGTCGAGGAAACTTTGACCCCAATATCATCTGTTCTATGGCCAATTTTGTAAGTTCCAATTGTGCCCATCTTCGTTCACCGAGTACATGTTTCTTGTACACCTGACCAATTCGCACGATGTCACCTCTTCCTCCCAATGTACCATTTTCGTAACGTGGCTGCATGACTCTGTTTTCTCCCTACCCGACACTATGTACACTGGTGTATATTCATCCATGATTCACTTTCATACAATCTTGTGGTCTGGTCTTGTCATCCTTATTCCGAACGCATGTGTTGACCCGTGGTTAATTATTCTGGCTTAGGTAGGATTCACACCTCGATTCGACCATCGCTATAAATATGTCAGCCAGTACCGGGCCAAGCGGAATACCCATAACCACACCATCTACCTGTCGGTAAATTTGTCCATTAGATAAGAAGTGCACATTATTTTATGGATAAGTTTATCGACAGGTAGCCCGTGTGGCTATGGGAAGTCAGCTTGGCCCGTTACTGGCTGACATATTCTGCCTTAGTCTTCCAAATCGTTCGTCAACGCCATTCTGTGTATGCATTGGGTTGCCGACGCATGGCGTTTGCCAAACGAAGGCTACTAGGATGGAGTTTGATCTTTGCAACCACTGCGTCCAGAACGCTGAAGACGTGCCTTTTGAGTACCTTTTTCATTCGGAGACTTCCTTGTGATAACACGATAAAAGGTACATTTTGCTTTTAACTCGCTTGCCTTATTCTTGTAGTTGTTTGTGATTGAATTTGGACCTCATGATTTTCAAAACACTATTCGTTACGACTGTACCCCTACTTGACACGTGTTCACGTGTATGTATGTAATACTTGCCAAGTACTAATGCTCTAAATTTTACAATATCCGTGTGACCACTTACTTACTTAACAACAGTCATTCTGGGATGTTTTACGCCTTCAGTTATCTCCTTATTCTTTAGTTCTATTTCACCTAGACTTAAGCGAAATTTCCGGGTGGTTCAAAACCTTTGTCATTCTTTTTGGTAGTCATAATAGTCCACACGACGTTTGTTCAATTTCTCACATATTCACCCGATTCGAGTCTTGTTATCCAAAAGTCCATTTACCTTTCAGATGCGCTTACTTTACATTTTCCAACGACAATCCTCTCACCAGCCAGCTCAGAGAAGCATTTCTTTCCTTCGCATTACTGCTGCAATCTTTTCCAGATTTGGCAGTTTTCTCCCCGCAATTCTCGTGGAAATCGGAATCATTTATCCAAATACTTCTCCGGTGGATCGTATCCAACTGGGATTCCCATTTTAGTCGTCGCACGTACACCGGGTTGACTTTACTTCATGGCGCGCTCATCGCCGCGAGCTCCGTGATGCGACAGATACATGATATCAATCAGGATTTACGCGACCACTTCTCAGATCCAAACGAATTGTCCACCTGTGAAAAGTTCCTACTGGATGTGTGCAAAACTTTGGCGACCTCCGAAAAGCGGTTTACGGGTATGTAACTGACTGCCATTTGTATTCCCCTCTTTCTGTTCTGCTCACTTAAATTGCTCTGCCTTGCCATTTGTATAAACTTTTCTCTGACCCTTATCTTCTCCTGACTCCATGCGATTTGGCTTACTTTACTGCCGCAAAAACCGGTTAGTTTCCTATTTTCTAAATTGTCTTCTCGTTGGTTTCCGATTGAACATCTTTATTCTATTTTAAGAAAAGATTCCGGAGGCAAATAACTTAGATGTTGCCCGGTTGTAACGTTACAGTCGGTAACCGATTTGGTGCTTATCTGTACTGTTCACTAGAGATAGCAAGGCTGCGTCTGAAGCCCGGAACTTTGGAACTGCCCTCCGAAACTTTTGCGCCTACGCCACGGAGCCTTGGTTTAGCTTGTTGCAACGGCTCATGAAGTCGGACCCAATTTCAATGCACTTAATTTGTTGGTAATCCCCCCTACCGTAAGACTGGAATTGTTTCATTAGCGCCGTGTTTTCACTGACTTTGGTCAACTTCCCCTCACGGACAGTTTCGTTCTACTTACTGTTCGCTTTCACGTCTGCAACACGAATCTGTTTTAGTGGCCTGATTTCATTATAAGTACTGATACATGTTCAACCTCCCAGCCCTTCCAACAGTAATATTTCCTTGCTCACCTCTTCCCTTGATTCGGTTTTCTGTCTTGTCCCCGACACTGATTCATGTCATGTTCTAGGACAATGAGATCATCATTGCTGTTCATCCGATTTTGTTGCACCTTAGGCTAGGTGATCATGTCACACCTGATTGTCCTTACCACATGCGCTTCGTAGACTATTCATGGACACTAAACCTGCTTACGAACCATACTGGTGCTTATAGACGAGTCTATTTGTCATCGATACGACACTTCTGATTAATTTTCCTATTCTCTTTCATGACTTCTCGAATCAATACCGTTACCATCTTTTTCAGGCAAACTGCTTCCCTTGTACACGGAATTTGTCATTTTAACGCTTCGCACTGTTGTTCAAGGACGAGCTGCAGATTCCTTGAGTATGTTATTTTTCGCATCAATATTCATATCTGACATATATAAGCTCATTCTGGTATTGCGAATACTTTCCCCTGCACGGCAAAGTTCTTTTCTGACCCAATCGTTGCCTTGAGACGGTCGTTCTTCATTCACAATCACTTTTGCCTTTTTCTCGCAAATTCCGCACTTATCCGCTCTGCCTAGAATGTTTCGATGGTCATGCGAGGCTCCCTGGACAATATTTTTCCATTAGTCCCCTATTTTGATACCTATCTTGCTGTTCAGCCAACTGCTGGCGTACACGTAACTCATATCACGATCCGATGTTTCAATTTTCTAGCGAAATACCTTTTTAAGCTGCTTGACGCTCATTCACAAGTGATTTTCATGCAAAGCTTCCAACTTCTTGAAAGTTGTCTACACACATACCGACTTTCATGGGAAGGCCATGGCTGCTTCCGTATCGATGAATCGGTTTTGTGAGTGTAGTGCTTTAGTGAACAACTCACTAGCGTGCTTCCGATAAAGTGCCGCATCCCTATTCTTCAAGCTTCACTCCATGCATGTGGTTCGATCGTTGGGTTGTGTGCTTCATTCACTATCTATTTGTATGCAGGAAGACCAATATTGTGCGAATCGATTGCATCAATTGAGCCGTTGGGTTTTTTTCGCAGCTCCTCATTGTGGTTTAGCTCTGTGGGAGATCGTGGCTTCAACCATAGCCCAACAGTAGACTACCGGTGGCGTCCCTGTGTTGCAAGTAGGTTGATGTCTTATTGGTGGTGAATACGAATATATCTCATGTGCTTCGCATTGAGATGAATAAGCGGTCATGGGCAATTCAGCGGTGCTTTTCGGATGGCTTGGCCATTTTCTCTTGTCAAGTTTTCTCCCTGTAAAAAGCCACCTCGCCACATGAAACTACTATAACTCGCCACTAACTAAAGTCGTATCTATTGGGAGTGGTACGCTCTTGATTTTACTCACAGTCATCCGCATGTCGTATGAATTGATCTATTGCGGCACCATGACTGAGGAGTTTTCCACATGCAGCTAGCGTGTATCATGATGATGAATTGATTGTTCAGTCACCACCTCCCAACTGGTGAGAATCCTATATCTTATCTTATTGCCGCCTTTTTGGCCATGCGTCGAGCCAAAAGGATCGACATCCTAACCCAATCCCCTACCTCGATCAAAGCAATTCGGTATTATCTCCTCTATTTATGAACCATGGACTTGAGCCACACTGTCCGTCCACTGACGACTTACTGTCCCATGACCAAGATTACTTTCCAACTTTCCTACTCTCTCACTATATCATTCAACCCCGATTTTGTTCTATTCTTCGAAGGTGATCAGCATTGAAATCTTCCATGACAGTGTCGTCTTGCCATCTTGTGACAACAGCGATTAGCCAATTTCAAACTGCCCCGTTTTTTGCTTCTGAACCTAATACACAGTTCAAATTGACAGCGTTCAATATGCGCATTTGAGACAGATTGAAGGATAAACAGAATTTAAAATGGATGTTCGCTACGGGCCTGAAATACTACGACTTTAAGAATCCAGCACAGTTTACCAACTATTGTCACTAATTCACCATACAACCGTTTTCACCTTCGGCTTTCTGGAGACTGTGAGTTTGCCACATATGGGTAAGCTAGTATTGGGATCGTCCTTAGTTTAAGGGCCGAAGCCGACCTTCTTGAATGCATTCGAATCAACAGCTCCCTCTCCACTGTGAGACTCCGTGGCTCAGGTAAGTTTGGCAGGGGTCGGGAAAACAAACGTTCTGCTTTTGTAATCTCTGCCTCTGCTCCCACTAACTGCAGTCAGGATACTGTCAAAGGCCAATCCTATCAGAGGCTCTATAATCTGACCTTAAGGGCACCTAAAACAGACGTGTTTGTCCATTGCTCGGGAAATGGCAGAACACTGCGCAGTCTGTGTGCCGACCACATACTTTACCTCTCAACGATGAATTTTTGTCGTCGTAGTTGTCACTGCACTGCACTGCCTGACATTCTCTGTCATCCTGCTGCCATTTATCCTAGCTTGACCACATCGCCATAAATCACCGAATGCGTAGCGGCACTCACAATTGCGTAGCCTATTGGTAAAATTGCATCAAACCTGGTCATGCGGTGGTACGTGCGCTAGTATGTGTGTGCTTGGTTGGTCACTTCCGATTGAACTAGCTCCGCTGAGTACTGGCAAACTGGAATACCTCGATATACCAGTAAGATATCAACGAAACTTTCGTGCGAATCTCACTTCCTCGTCCTTGGGACGTTCACCGGCACCGATTGCACTCACAACAGAGCATGTTTTTTGTGGGTTTATGCAAGTGTGGTCTTGTGCATTTCACAGCTCAACGTAGGATCTTGGAAACACCTTCGGAACTATTTGACCTTCGACGGGCTGTTTCCACTGGTGTGAAGCACAATGAAATCCAATAAAGCTAGAAGAAAGAATATTTTAACAGAATTTACTGAATTCAGCAATTTCGCGTATTCTCATCAGCTGTTTACATACAGTTAGTGGAAAACAGTGCGATGTTAACATCAAAACATTCAAAGCGCTCGAACGTCCTTAGGCTCACGTGACCCGTTCCGAGGAAAACGCAATCACTAGCCTCACCAGGGAAGGGCTAGCGCGGTCACGAAATTCGTTTGCTTGCACAGATTTGGCTTCAGCCGCCGAAATGCTGCCGCCTCCGCAAACTGTAGTAAGCGGGGATTAGCTTGCCTGATAACTACCCTGAAATTACCACGTGGATTTTGGCATTCAGGGCAGTCAAGTGTGTGGCGAGGAATAGAGCTATTCGGTAGCTTCGGACCCTTAGCGACCATGTTTCGTGGAACATGCTCTGCAATCCTCGCTGACAGCCTTCTCTCAGTTCGGCCTACGTACTTGCTGCCGCAACTACAATTAAACAGGTAAATACATGAGGCGGTAACTTGAGGGTCCGGTCTGTCCAGGTTAGTTTTACAGAGCAACCTACTGACTTGATGCAATACCACTAGCTCAGCCGCAAGGTAACACTTCTTAAGTGATTGACAGAGGCGATGCCGGTAGCTTCGGTCAACTTGATCTCCTTTGAACGGTAGTGTAATGAATACCTTTTTCTTCGCGACATCGGTTGGTGGTTTATCCCTGGATAGTACTTTTGCGTGCCGTGCTATAAATCTCACGGGATATCCATTCTCTTGTAGTCGCGAGGTGACTCATTCCGGTTCACGTTCGATTGTGTCTAACGAGCAAATTTGACGAGCTCTGGTAAAAGTGGTACGTACTAAAGCTCGTTTATGTTTTATTGGACAAAAGCTACTAATGTTCAAGTATTGTCCCGTCCATGTTGGTTTTCGAGTTTTGATGTTAACATCGCACTGTTTTCCACTAACTGTATGTAAACAGCTGATGAGAATACGCGAAATTTCTGAATTCAGTAAATTCTGTTAAAATATTCTTTCATCTTGCTTTATTGAAAGTCGTGAAGGGAAATACAATGTACTCCGTTGGACAGTTTCTCAGCAACTGAAACCAAGTCTTCTCTTTAGCCTTGAATCCTGGTGGTCTAAAGGATTTGGGTAATTGAAAGTTACTGTACATTCTTGAAACTGTCACAGGTTATTTTACTTTATTGAATCCACCGGATGGAAACCACATGTCGTCAGCCATAGAGTCTGCGATTTAGTAAGTATTAATAAATATCACCAACCTGCACCTGCGTCTGAATCATCGGGCGGAGTACTTTGCCTTTCACATTACTTATCCAGCGCAACTTTCGATGACACACCCATTACCATAATGAGGTGACTATTCTGTCTGCATTGACCATTTCACTGAAGCGAAGATTCTAGGGGAAATTCATCTTTGTGATCCTCCATAAGCTGCTGACCCTGACAAGCTTTCTCCAATTCTAATCAAAGATAGAGGGAATATAGTCGCCAGCCGTTTACAAAGTTATGGATTGATGGGGTGGTTCCCCGCTCAAGAAAGCCTCTTGAACGAATACACCAATGACCGAGGAATATCGCTGGTTTCACTCGCGTTCATAGTTTTAGTTTCTAGCCTCCTTCGGCAGGTTTCAGCTACTAAAGAGAGTTTATCACACGAGGAACAGGCTAGTTTTTCTTCTGGTCAAGGTTATATTGTCAAGTTCCCGAACACTATCACATCCACTGTAGACCAATAGCTTTGCTTTTTGGGAACATTCGAGCTACTTTTAATGCAGACAATAGGATCTCTACGGAACTGTGCCCGACAATTACGTCATAATCTCCTTGGAACTATAAAGTCACGCATCTGTTAGAGTTTGGGTTTAAAACAAGCTCTCTTTTGTGTTTGTTGTTACTTGAAAGTACTCTATGCTTACTCCTTTCTCACCTTTCCCTGTTCAACTTTGCCACTGAGGGTTTTCCACTGATTAGTGGATAGAGTTTCGGATTGTTACAGGTTTCTCTCGGCGGATATTCTTAAACCTGGATTATACGGATGGTATCGCTTTGCTGACGATGGTACAGGCCGTCCAAAACATTTTGAGCCGCCTAGCAATGGCGGTATCGGAATATGATCTACATTTCTCCCCCTTCTAATGTAAAGCGTTACTCCAGTATCGGCTATTTTCTGTTACTACGCTCATCGCTGCAGACGACTATCTGGAGTAAGTTGCTTGCTTTACTTATCTGGGGAGTTGGATCATGTCGGTTGATGGCGTTGGTGATGCAGTTTCAGGACGATCTGCTAACGCACTTGGAAATTCCCATTTAGAGTTGAAGTGAACACGAGACCATAGGGGAACAATTGCTATCGATGATTCTCTTCAGACCATTATAATCATATTTAAGGGTAAAATTAGGAACTGAAATCGACCCATTGGCTCAAATTACATAGTTAATTGACGGTTCAGTGATGGAGGCTAAAAGTTGACTTTTGACCTGACAGGTTGATTTCATGGTACCTGAGCTTGATCTGTGGCAATCGACCTCAGCATCGTTCGTTCTAGCTGGCCAGGGAAGCTGTAAGGCATAGAGCAACTTATTTTGCAAGCATAAAGAAGGTTGAAACAACCAGATGCAAATCAATTCAGCTGTTGCGAGCGCACGGAGGCGCAAACCTCTTGATTGATGCTGGGGTACGCTGTAAATTATCCTGAAGGCACGCTTTAGATCAACTTGATGCCCCGTGTCCACAATATGGGCCAAACGAGTGCTGCTAATGGCCCCAGTTCCTCCTTGACACAACCAGCGCGGGCAGTGCTCATTCACGCGTTTGCACAAGTGCCGTGCCGTTCGACCAATATAACTAGCGTCACAAGCGCACTTGAACTGATAAACACCCATAGATGAGGTCAGCAATGGCAGCGTATCCTTATTGCGTGAACAAACAAGTGGTTCAGTAGAAAATGTACACTTTAACCTGGCTGCTGGGAATGTCGACTTGACTGCCGCTGAAAGACTTGGTTAGGCGCTCGGCAGCGGCATCCCCTTTAAAAGGTAATCTTAAAAATAACTCCTTCTTCGCCGTGGTTAAAACTGGTACCGGCTTGGGCTTTTTTTCAAAATTCTTTGCAACAAATCTATCAGGGTATCCATTCTCGCGCAGCGTATTCTTTATAAAGGCTAGTTCCTCATCCAGGGTGTCCTGTGAGCAAATTCTACGTGCTCTTATGGTAAGGCAGTGGATTAAATTTCGCTTATATCTCAGCGGGACGAAACTGTGAAAATTCGTGTACTGACCAATCCACGTATCCTTTCTGTAGACTTTCCGCTGGATGGAGCCGTCTGGCCTCCTAGTTAACAAGACATCTAAATACGGAAGCCGATCGTAAGTTTCTGCCTCGTAGGTAAATTGCAGTGCTGAGTGAGCCCGGTTAAACCGATCGAGAACCTTATCCAGATTTATGCATTTATCCGCCACTACAAATATATCATCCATATAACGGTGGTAGTAGTCAACAGATTTTATCTCCGCTTGCAATTTTGTTCGCTCCAATTTAGCCATGAATATATCTGCGAACAACGGACCGAGGGGGGATCCCATGGCTACACTGTCCATTTGCCGATAAAATTTACCATTAAATAGAAATTGCACATTCCATGTGCACCGCAGCAATACGTTTTTCAACTCAAGCACCGGTATACAAATCTTAATATCCGACTTCGTTATGTGCTCGCAAATGTAGTCGATGGTTTTGATCAGCGCGACGTTAGTGAAAAGCGAGACTACATCAAAGGAGAGCATCACTTTCTCATTAATTTTGGCCTCCTTGATGCTCTCGACAAACTGAAAACTGTCGCGCAGGCTGTAAGTCACAAGCTGTTGTCTCACCGGCTCAAGTATTCCTACAAGCCACTGGGCAACTGCGTGGTAGGGGAGTTAACCATTGACAGAATAGGACGAAGCGGGATGTCGGCCTTATGGATTTTTGGCAAGCCGTAAAGTCTCGGAACGTTTGTGCCGCAAGGTCTAAGACTGTCATACAAGGCATCGGTTATGTACCCCTTGGCCCGAAGCTGTTGGAGGCTTTTAGTGATCTGTCTTTCACTCTGTTCTGTTTGGTCAACTTCCCTCATGTCACAGGAAAATTTCGTCTTATCGCTCAGAATGGTTGTGAGTTTATCAATATAGTCTTTTCTGTCTAATAACACAATCCCGGCACCCTTGTCCGGTTTGCACAGAATGACCTCCTCATTGAGTTTAAGCTGCTTCAGCGCGTCTAGGTGCTTTCTTGTTAATGGACACGATGTACCAAGAAGCACTCAAAGCGTTCGAAATCCATATTAGACTTAGGCGTTAACCCATTCGTTTGATCATGTAGGTTTTCAAATTGCAACTCGCTAACATTTACTTTTCACTCATTAAATTGATACACTTGTAGCGTCTTCGTGTTCCAGTCTCTCGATATTCATCAGAGCGTGCAATACCGTTTTTTGCGGCCGCACGACATGGTCTGTTCTCTCGAGAGGTTTGAAACGGCTATCCACTTACCATGACTGCACACAAGTTAGTAATCGAGCACTCAGAGCGAAATGTCCGCGCGTCCAGAGTATTATTTTCCAGCACCGTTCTCATCGGCTCGGCCACATTCTGCTTCGCATGCCAGTCTATCGCGTTCATCATTGCGAATGAGAAGAGTATCGCGGCGGACAAGCAATGATGTTACAACAGAACAAGATGAATTTTAGCTCATTTATCATCCTTTGCATCTGTCCGTCTCTCGGGTTGGACACTGTGTGACGCGGACTCGCAGTACTAAGTAGTTTTTGTAGTTCTAGCTCCCAGTAGAAAACACTGGCTCTAATGCTGCTCCATAGTTTATTTTTTATGTAATGTACACTTTTGAATGAAAAATATTAAAGCAAAATAACTCAACCAACGTGTGTGAAACGTCAGAAAATAACCATTATCCTTTGTTCTGTCGTTTGTTTCTCTCCGCTAAACAACGGAGCGTCCAACTCACGGAACCAAAACGAGCCGTAGTTGGATTGTGTGGTTAGCTACTGAAGCTGTTATTGGAGCCATTGAGATATGAAGTATAAGTACCAAGTGATATATGCTTGCATCTACATTTGTATTTGCTTCATTTACCTCTTTATTTTGTCTCTTATCATGTCATCAGTTTTTCCTTTAAGTTCACTTTTTATTTTATTTAATCCAATTTCTCAACCTACGCATTTCTAACAATATTTATTTGATACCACATTGTTTCCCAGACGCTTGCCTTGAGACGATTTCCCGCCATTCCGTCTGATTGACGCCCCTGCTAACCAGACTTCTTCTTCCCATTCTCATCATGATTCCGGTAGCACATTTATCTGCTTTCAGACTGCCGCACAAACAATACAGTAATATTCTTTTCTTTTTATAATGACTTACTCTTGCTTCTGATCGTTTGTCATCGTAACAATGTATTACCGACATTCGCCATCGTTCTGAATAGCTTTCTCCGGTTTACTTCTTGATTTTGTCTTTTCCCTGGTTTTTGTTCTCCATTCAATTTTCACTCTCTTTTCAGTTGTTGATGAAATCTTCAATCTAGCCCATTTGTGCCTTTCTCTACTGGATGATGACCCTCAGCCGTTTCCTTACTCTCCTCAACAACGATTATCTCAAGGTCAGTTTGTTCTTGGAATATAGCTTCTATAGTTGTTTTTGCGGCCTCCAACGATTTCGTTTTTGACTACTATATCTTCTTCGCGATCACCGGCCTTGTATCAACGTTTAGAGTTAGTTAAGGCACTGTTGCTTCTGCGACCCTTATCGACACCTATCAGTTCACATAATCACGATTTTCTGTCATGGATGTTGCAGCTTTTTGCTATTACTCATTTCTGTAATTCACCCGACCAATCACTAGAGTGGGACCCATATTTGGACAAACCGGAAATTCCATTCAAGCAGTAGACAATGTGAGGAATTTCATGGGAAATTCGTCAAAATTACGCTTAGTCGGAAGTCACCACAGATCCGGAGAAACAGTTGATGGGACTCATTGATTAGTTTCATTTTCATTGAACCGATCTGGGTTCATAGATATGACATTACCCTTTCGAGATTATTTTTGATTCGTCTGGAAAATTTTAGCGCTTATCTCTCATTTAACGATATTTAACATGGTCTCACAGGATGTTCGCTTGTTAGACTCCCACTGGATTCTACAAGACTGCGTGTCGACTCTGACTCTTCAAAGGACCTGCTACACTTCTGCTTGCTTTAAAAATGTGTGGTACCGTGTCTGCGTCAAGTTGCTTAGCATCTTTTTTGACATAGTGGATCGCTTCGTTCGAGAAGCCTGCTCATTATCACAGGAACTAGGTGTAAATCAGTACTGCTCATCGTGCTTCTTCATCAAGCTACGGTAAGCGGTCGTCAGCTGTTTGGAATATTGTGTGTTGGTGCTCAGACTCATGCAGGAGCAAGGGCTCAAACCTGGGATGAAGAAAGGTTGAGCCAAACAGCTGAACCACGCACCAAGGATCGATCATGCTTAGACACACCTGCACTCTTACACCGATAGAAATTCGGGATGCCTTTCTTCTGTGCACTCTACTACGCATGACCCTGTGTTGCCAGAACTTGTTTGGCGCTCATGGTTTTTATTTGGTGACTTTTAAGTGAAACCGATACTGAGCGTTTGCATCGCTTGTGGCGATGAACCATTCATGTGTTTTTTAGCCATTCGTTAGGCTGTTGCGTTTTTCCCTTCCGCGTTTTTATGTATGTTTTGATCGGTGACACAAAGTATCCAAACTCCCTTCACATTCGTTCTTTCTTTCAGCGATTGACATTGCCATTTCTGGAACTCCTGGGAAAAGCCATCCATGATTGGTCATGTTTGTACTTTCTTAAGATCTCATCCTATATTTTATGTAAAATACATTGCTCTTTCCAGCGAACTAGTTTTTACCTGTTCGCTATGGGGAACCATTGGGCACTCTACGTGTCTTTTTGCTTGTAGACATTTTCATACAATCTGCTCAGTTGGTTTTCATCTCACCTCTTTGGGGTACTAATTAGTTCAGACGGACGTTCATGCTTCCAACCTACCGAAGCGCCATGAACACATTTAGCCGAATATATAGCAATGTTCGGTGAACCTACACACTACCAGCATTCGAGCTGTGATTTACTGTGTCCTTCTTCGACGGTATATATCTTCCACACGCACGTGGACCCATTCAAGTCTTTAACAGGTGCTGTTTCGATAGCGGAACGATATCAACATTTTTGTGAATGTCGTTGAAGGATCGAGGAGTACATCGATTCGTCGAGCTCTTATCCTTCCGTTACCGGTCAGGATTTCCTCTAATCCAGTCAATGAGAAAATGTTGACAATCATCCGTTGATCACACTGAAGGCGTCTCTCAATTGTTATAACCTCTCCTTCTCTTGAGTCTTTTTCTCTTGCTGCCTAACAGTCTGCGCAGGTTCTTGGCTATCTCAAGAAGACTGCTGTTAAACTGCGTCCGTAATTTACAATAGTCTGGGAATTTCTCACTCTATAAAATGTACTTAACACCAAGTACTTTTATAACACTGATGGGACATACAACTGTCCAGTTTGATCAACGGCTTTACCTTCTAGCCTTATTCTGCCGCTTTTGCTCGTTATAGGCTGCTGGTATCTCCACACGACTGGCAAAATTATTGTCCCCAACCTTTACACCCATTTTCCCTTTGTCCCATACTTGATCAAGCGCAACATTTCGGATTTATTCACCAGCTCTACTCTATAGCTGTGTTGAGTCTCCCGTCACTCTACCAGAATTTGTTGGTCTCAAAACGCGATACGAATGTGTAAATAGAGTTTATGACATGTGTTGCGGATAACCGCGCTTTTAGTAAACATGATTTGTTAAAGTACCACACTTCATGATCATGCATGCCGCACTTTCGTTTGTTCCATATCCGCCTTCAGTTGGCACATTGTACACAACGGACAGCATGAAGTGGCGCACACATCCTTCAACAGGGAGCCCTGAAAGGAATAATGCTTTGTCGATTACGTACCTTACATGCGGCACATGCATATGGCAAGCACCGAACTGTTTCACCAGATGTGTCCGCACCCTGATTGGGTTCACCCTCATCAGTGTTCACCACTTGAAGTTCATTCTTTGAAGACTAGACGAGTGACCCTGTGTGTTCAAACTAATGCTGCTCTGATTCACTCGCTTTGCTAACACGAATTTCTTTCGTGTCTTGGTCTGAGTAATGCTCCCGCTGGTGCAACTGAGCTTCGGTGCATACTTCGTTTTACCCCTGATCTGCATTAACTCATCATCGTAATCTTCTTAAGTAAAGGCTTATTGAACAGTACCCAGGAGTGTGCTAAATTGAGTGTTGGCGCCAGAAATTTGTCCACACCAGCTTGTGCTCATTTCATCCTTGATTGTCTTCGGAACTGCCACTGTTCACTTGCCACCAACCTGAGATAGTCCACAATATTTTTATTGACTGTACGGGTAACGGACTCGCTGTTGCGAATCCTGAACCACTCACCTCAACAAGGCAGTGGTAAAACCTTCGTTTTAAATCTCAGAAGACGCGGTGTTATAAACTGAAAGATTTTTATTGTTTAGCCCAACAATAACACCAGGGATGTTCCCTGCTTCTAGAAACTCCCAGCTCCGCAAGCGCTCTAGTTGGCTAGCTGCTAGTCAGAAACACTCTCATTGTTGGGCCCCTGGCCAATGGGCTTCGCTTGAGTCTGCTGGCGTTGAGCCAGACTTGGAGGGCCCCTATGTTATGTCTCTTAAAAACTATGTTCTCAGGCATGCATATCAACCATTAACCTATTTTGATCGAATGATCCCTTAGTACAATCGATTCTATCCTTTCCTCGTTGTTTACTGCTTATGTATTGCGTCTCTGTTACCCCCGCGTTTTCATGAGTAGGCGTTTGTGGCTCGTAACCTCATTGGTTTAGCAACGCGGTACTACTGTTCATTCAATCTAAACCCGGCTCCCTGCTAGTGAGCGCGCGTTATTCGGTCCAAGCACCTTCTTAAATGACTTTTCATCTTATGCTCAAAGTTTTCATATCTTCCGCGGATACATTGTTTAACCCTGGCGTAACTTGATGCATCTGAGTGCCACCTACTGCCCGTTTCGCTTTGGACTTAAATTCACATACCCGCCCCACGCTTTCAATATAAGCCAATTGGAATATCGGTTTTGTCGTCTACCGTCCAAACTGCACATGCTTATGCTGTTATCTGAATGACTTATGCTTTAGCGTATGATACGTTTAACCGCTCCTGCAACTAATACTTATCTTCTATGAGACTGTTGTACACCTACTTCAAGGAATTTCGTGAGAGCTAAGCATTTTCGATGCCCGGCTTCTATTTGCAGGAGTTTGTTTGCTTCTTGGCTTTAGTTTTCCAATATTCCTTTCCATGCCACCTACCTATCATTGCATACGTCACTATGTTTTCTCATACTGTAATCATCCATCCGTAGTCACTGTCATCACACTCGATACTTACTAGTATGATCCGTCCATATTCTCCTTACTTCGACGGTGAACGGGACATTTCGACTGCACGCAAAGCATATCTATTCACTCACCTTGATGTGATGCTTGAATCGGTGCTTCACCCGTAGCAGCAATGGTCCTGCTCCCAGCAGCGGCAGACAACAGGCCTCGTTAGAGTACTTGTACATGTGGCACAAGTAACACAGCGGACAGCAGGTGACCAGTAAACCTGAAATTTGGAACAAACCATCTAACGTTTTACACTTGTATTTTCGTTTCTTCTTCACGAGGTTCTACAATGAAACGGATTTCATCTACATAAGCATATCAGGTACAGGTCATCTGTTCAACAATCCGACCAAGTGCTAAGTTGCTTTTCTCGATACCTAGATTGTGATGCTGACTACACCCAATGGTTTTCTGAGCAGCGAGGCTTCTCAGGGCGCAATTTGTACTAGTTTAGCCGCGGTCTACCTGATAACTTATGTTGAGACAGTCTACGCACTTGGCGCACAGATCGCAAATGGATGCACCGATCAAAGTTGTTAAACTGAACTACCCACAAGACACTGTTCTACATCCTCCTTTTTCTCTTTTCACGAATGTCTTATTTATTGACAGTACGCCACTATTGGCTCCATCAGTAACATTGACAAGAAACTGGGATCACCTTTCAATCCCAGGTTACCATTCCACATTGCGTCTTTCAATGTCCATACGCTATCAGATCAGTCAAGAAGTGCCTCGTCGAGATTAATGTATTCTACCTTCGAAATGCACACAGAACAGCATTGTACTACTGCGTCCGCGCTTACCAAATGTGGCCTCCAACATCGGGCTTTAAGCACATAAGTTCTCCAGCGATACCGGGTTAGTATGCGACATTTACAGGGTCGGTCATCCTCAGAAAACACGCCGAAGATGCTCTTCTTTAGTAGATCCTAATGAATAGCCGCGTATGTGCCATTTAGTTTCGGAGCAGCACTGCATTTATTAAGCATAGATTGAAGGCACATTGTTCAACTTTTTGGGGTGTTCGCCGAGCTGGGCAACTTGTTTGCGGAAGTTTCGTCACCATTCGAGGTGAATTCATCAGTGCAGGTTTGATAGCGGTCATGTAGCAGGGGCTGGTAGAAGGAAAACTCAGGCTGTATCGCAGTCATATTGTTTCCACGGACTATTGGACGGAAGCTATCAGTGTCCAGTTCTATCGGCGTCTCCCGAAATTCGAATGAATGAAGGTGCGGATACCGCAGTTTTTCAAAATGACATTAATGCTTAAGTCGGTCGCCTATCATCATTTTGGTGCGTTTTTCTGGGGCAGCACATATTTTATTGAAAATGTTGGCCCCGCATTTCACATGTGCGCTGCTCTAAACCGGACGGGTTTTGAGAAGGAATGATCTCGTCGAGTTACATGGGGACCATTGAACGAGACTACTCTAGACTCATCTCTATTACTTCCCCATAGACTATGGGTGACACACGTTAGTTCATAGCCATCTATCAATCTGTAGCACTTGCCTCGATGCTGACCATGTTCTGGTACCTACAGGCCTATGGCTTACTCTTCCAGCCCCAACTAATTTCTCAATTTCCTATACACTAGCTGGTGAACTATATTCGCAATCACCAAATCGAAGTGCCTGTCTGATTTGTTACATAACCTGCCACTAACGCGCAACGTGGACGAACTGAATGCGGGCCGGGATCTTAACATGGATATTCAGGAGTACTAGTTCAATTTCTTCGCACGTGGGTCTTGGAAATATTCTCCTGTGTAGACAACAGATAATAAAGATAGCCACTTTACACGAGTCTAAAAACGAGCCGAGCAATCGGAAGAGCAGTTCTCCTCCTCAGGGCCTCATAATTGTTGGTTTGGTCCTTCGAATCCTGTTATGACGTTTATGTACTAGCTCCTACGTTCGACGAAACCCGATACTTACTGGGCTTCTGGGACGCAGCAGGACATTTCGACCGGTAGACCTTCAATCTGCCATGCTGAATAATAGTGGTGGCTCGCTAATGATTGTCTTAGTTGCTCTGGTAAATACCGTTTGGAGCAAAGTGAAGGTGTCCTCTGATTGGAAATTGTTAATTGTCATCCCTATATTTACTAAAGACCAAAGGATGAGATGTGCTGTCATCTTCATCGCAATCGTCTCCAATCTACTGACATGCAATACGATGGTGTGATTCACTCTTTAACTTGAGTACAACTCAGGCTAAATTATGCCCCAGTAGATGATATGTCGATCCTACCTCTACTCTGCCATATTTTCGAAGAAAACACTACTCAAGGACAGTCTGTGACACCAACGTTTTTGACTTACATGCGGCTTCTGATTCTGTCGATCGTCCCTTTTTTGTGGCAGTTTCTAGCTTTTAATGGGTTCATGAAAACACCTTT